GACCGAGACTCACGTGGTGGAGGATTATTGTTTTTCATTTCATCCAAAATTTGCCATAAAGCACACTTAGTTTACCAACAAATATCACACGATTATGAATTATTGGTTCTGGAAATTCACTTTCCCGGATGCGCGCCACTATCTATAGTCAACAACTACTTTCCGGCTGGAATACAAGATGAAAGAGCCCTTGACGTGACTGCGAGTTTTTGCAGAAACAGTATGCTATTTGTGGGAGACTTCAATTCCCATCACGTTTCATGGGGATTCCGCACTGATTCATCAGGAAAACGGTTGTGGGACTGGACTAACCGGAATAACCTTATTTGTTGGAACTCCAGAGTTCCGACATTCGTTCGATGTAATTCGAGGTCCGTCTTAGACTTGACATTTGCTAGCTCAAGTGTGACAATATTGTCTTGGACTGTTCTTGATACTGCTACAAGTAGTGATCACTGCCCCCTGGTATTTGAAGTCAGCATTCCTTTAGTGACGGTGGATCGCCAGGTGCAAAGTTTTGTAAACTACTCTAAATTTAAAAAGAACTTACAGTCAACGCTGTCTTTCTTGCCCAATATGAAAACAAATATGAAAGCTATGAGCCTTTGTTCCACCCTAAAGTGTACAATTAAAAAATCACAGTTCACTATATCTTCAACAAAGGGAAAATTCATATCTGCCTGGTGGAATGCGGATTGCGCCAGAGATTATAGACGCCGCAACGCTGCATGGAAAAAACTCCTCACCAACCAATGTCCGACTAATTGGAGAAATTATTTATTTGCTAAAGCTACCTTTAGGAGAACAGTTTCATTAGCGAAAGACGATTATGAAGAAAAACGGTACAGCTACTTATCCAAGAGTGGCAACAAGAAAGCTCTATTCAGATTTCTCCGTAATCGTAAAGCTATTACAGCACACGTAAATATTGACTCAGTTATTTTTTCTCCAACTGATTTGGAAAATACATTAACGGAAATTGCAATAGAATTGGAGAAGAGATTTACATCACAAATCAAAATAAAGTGTGCAAAACCGTCATTCGAAAATGATTTTATTGAAGTAAGTAGGGATGAACTTGCGCACGTCGTTCGTATTCTGCCAAACACAGGTCCTGGACCAGATGGCGTCCCTTCGGAAATGTTAAAAATATTATTCGACATCTCTCCTGAAGACCTCCTTAACGTTGTCAACTATTCACTTAAAAATAGTTGGATACCTCCTGACTGGAGACTTGCAAAAATAATACCGCTTCTTAAAAAACAGGGACTAGGAATGCAGATAGATAACATTAGGCCAATCGCTTTAACATCACACGTAGTTAAGTTAATAGAAAGAATACTTTACATTAGAGTTACGAAGTTCATAACAGATAATGCGATACTCAGTGCGTGCCAGATTGGATTTAGACCAGGTTACTCTATATGGTGGGCGCATGTTGATTTAGAGGCTCGTATAAAGCTTGCTCGGCACAGACGACAATATGCAGCCCTAGTAACCCTTGATTTAGCCAAGGCATATGACAGTGTTGAACATGCTATTCTTATCAATGTCCTAAAAGATCTTACGTTCCCGCAGTACATAACAAATTGGATATACGAATTTTTAAAAGACAGAAAATTTTATTGCTTCCAACGAGGTATTTCCACGCCGAAGTATAGCCAAACGAGAGGTGTTCCTCAAGGCTCTGTTCTATCGCCTGTGCTATTTAACATTTTGTTAAGTTCAATACCACAGAGTGATAAGGTACACGTATATGTATATGCAGATGATATCGCGTTCTTTGCATCTGACAACGATATTTATTCACTACATTCGACTTTACAGTGTTATTTGGCAACATTGGAAACCTGGTTTCAGAAAATTCATATGAACCTGAACGTAACTAAAAGTGCTATAATAGTTTTTCCGTTGGACGCACCAGTTACTATTTCTCTTCAGTACCATCAAGAAATAATACCCCAGGTTAATTGTATTAAATATCTGGGTGTACTGTATGATCAAAAACTGAGCTGGCGTGACCACATTGAATATATTAAAATTAAGGCTACACGCGCTGTTGGAATGATAAGCAGGCTTGGCCGCCTCCGTTCCGTTCTTCGCAGAGATACGATGATCATGATTTATCGCATGTACGTTCGTCCGATTCTTGAATTTGGATGTGTACTATTCTCTGGTGGACCAGCATACAAAATAAACCCCCTCATTCTCTTAAAGCGGGAAGCCCTACGTAGTTGTTTAGGTGTGCCAGAATTCACAGCTAACAATGTTTTGTATCAAGAAGCTCGGATACCCACCCTTGCTTGCAGATTTCGTATTTTAACAGTAAACACCTATTTAAAATTTTCTGAATCCACTTTAAGAAGGCGACAATTTGTATTCTTTGCCGAGCCTGGTGTCTTTTTCAATGAGCATTGGTCCCGTGTATATAAACCCCAAGTGCTATTTGTTCAAACACTTCTAGATGCTTTAAATGTTAATATATTCGAGATCACACCATCTGTCAAACCAATCGGCCAAGTGCAAATAGAATTTGACGATATCTTTCCCATGAACGCTAAACACTTGCCCTCTAAATATTTGATTGGTTTATTAGAACAACACCTGTCTCAATTAGGTACTAATACAGTAATTGCAACGGATGCATCTATGAGTGGCGAGAAGGCAGGTGTGGGTATTTTTTCTCTCTCATTATTCTGGTAATTTTCATTACGCCTCCCAGATTATACACCAATATTTGAAGCGGAATTAACGGCCGTTATACTAGCTATTCGTAAACTTCCTGTGACTCATTCGACAGCTGTGATAGTGACTGACTCGTATTCTGTGTGTTCATTCTTATCATCGTCGTCGACATCAGCAGTACTAGAGACTTTTAAATCATTAATCCCAGCAAACATCCGTCTAGTGCGAATGATATGGGTGCCAGGCCATCGTAGTATATTTATAAACGAGATGGCTGACAAACTTGCGCGAACATCTCTTGATCTTCCGATTGTGCCAATCATGCCTCCTACAGCTTATGTAACAGCAGCGAGGTTTAGAAAACTTCCCCTTCTTGAAGACTCATCAAAAACCATGATACCGAATCCAGATTTCTCGCACCTGCACTTCACATGGAATAATAAATGGTGTCCCACGCGTAAATTGGAAGTCTTGGTAACAAAATTACGTTGCCGTGTACCACCTCTTAATTTCTACTTAAACAGGTCTGGTCTGGTGCCATCCCCTCTGTGCTCAAGTTGTAACGAACCTGAACATTTCGACCATTTTCTTATCACATGTCACCGATTCAAAAATCAAAGAAAAAACTGCTTCGAAATTTTATTCAGAAAATTAGGAATATCACCTAATACTCCCAATATTTTGTCTTTTGGGGCCATTTCATTGGGACATAGCGACAGGAACATCTGCGGGGCTCTCTGCGATTTCATATATAACACAAGAAGATTACCTTGCTGAGTCAGCCATCAGCTCTCGAATTTTACTAGTGACACTACCACTTACTATTTAGCTGATACACTGCAATGATTCAACTTTCAGGAAAATTTCATATAACGATTCCACCACAGATATTTAACAAATTCTATTATTTCTCCCCCCCCTTTTTTTTCTTTTTTTTAACATTGCGCCAAATTATTTTCACAGTCAAAACACAGTATTCATATTCCCCTAATCTAGAAAATCTATAGGTATTTACTAGCATTAACCACCGGCTTCTTGGCCAATCCCCCTTAGTGGGTGAGAGCCACAAAAGAAAGGAACAAGCAAGCAAGCAAGCCCAACCGACGCGCTTGGTTAGAGCCCTGTTGCTCAGACGTCAATAAACCTCGTCGACACCCCTGGAGCGACGTGCCAATATATATATATATATATTGCATTTTTTTGACACAAAATTATTGAAATCTAACAGACAATAATGCCAAGGACAGTATAGAGGAGATTATTAGACCGAATTCTAAGGTAAATGTGAAGAAAGAAAAGTGGGTGAAAAATGACTTGCCGTTATAACCAAGATAACCGAAAAGCTAACTCGTCGGTTCCTGCCCACCACAAGATATCTTATCATGGCCGACTCGCTGGCTGCATCTCGCCGTTTTCGTTGATACCTCAGCTCATAGAAGCACTAGATTGACTGCTTGTTCCTTGACCCCTTGTTCTTTGAATTACTACGACGGATGTCACTAACTAGCGCTCAGATATGATTATTCTTTTTCTGATTCTACATCTGGCTTGCACGTGCTCCTTTCAAAAGCGCGAAGTCGATGACACCGACTCCATTGCCACGATTTTGTTATACGCTTGCGAAGCGTCTCATCAAAAAGGCATAAAAAAAGCCGTCCACATTACTACGTTTCAAATTACACGTGTCAGTTTCTAAAGTTATCTTCTTTCTAAACGACGGCGAAGTTAGCACGCGCTAGAAAACATCCGCGCGCGACGCACTCGGTTTAGCTCGTTCGAACAAACGTTCTTCAGCACGTGCTCTGAGCATAACTAACTGAAACGCGATCACTGTGGACGGGAAAGTCTTGAGACACCAACAGCGTCGACTGCCCAGGCGAACGCCGAGAATTACAGTGAGTGACCTACGTCAAGATAGTTCGACCCTTAACGCCATGCCTGTACCGAATCGTCGGCAAAGACCTCACGTTAAGGACCAGAAAGCGCGCAGCCGAGCCGCGTCGACGGGCTCCTGCGGGACTCTCAGAGGCACACCGCCGTACTCCGGGCAACGTTCAGAGTGACTCGAGACCCGATCGGACATTACCGAAGATCCGTTACCCGAAGCCGGCAGGACCTTAGTCCCATCGGACCTCATTCGCCTCTTGCCCGCCCCGACGGTGTCAAAGCCAAGCGTGATAACGCACGTCATCGACGGGTACGTCATCCAGGAGTCATTTCAACCTTTGTCAACTGCGACCGCGGCAGCGACGTCTAGTGTTGAGGAGGCGCAGCGTTACTATCACGTCAGCAGCGCGGACGCACCACTGTCGACGATGCCGGGCCCGGGGACAGACCCCGGCACTTCTGGAGCCGTAGCGCAGGATTTGACCGCTAAGCGCGAACATCCGCAGTCCCTGGATTCGTCCTTCGTCGAGACGCCTGGCACAGCCGAGTCACTTCAGGGGGCTGCAACGTTCACCGTGAAATTGAGGCGCAGACGGAAGACTTCATCGCTGGTCTGCAGGAAGACCAAAGAAGGCCTCAAGACGACTCCGAGAAAGACCGCCTCCTCTGTCCCAGACACTGATGCCACTTCCAAGTCTGAACTCGTCAATGGGGCGCCACCACAAGTCCCACCGATGTCTTCCCGGGGCTCAGTGGCTTTGGAGGCATCTTCTCCGCTGCTAACCACAACCCGGCAGCGTCAGCAGGAACCTGCATATCCACTGCAGAATCGGGGTAACTCGCCAGAAAACTGGACGGTGGATGACGTATCAGAGTACGTTTCCGGGATCCCTGGGTGCGAGCGCATCGCTGAGAAGTTCCGCCACCACGAGATCGACGGCGGCGCGTTGTTCCTCATCAAGGAACACCACCTCATCAGGATTGTGGACATAAAACTGGGACCGGCGTTGAAGATTTGTGCTGCCATTGGTTCACTTCGCGAGGTGTTGTCCTAAAACGAACATGTGGCACACGTCTGAAAAAAATAAAAAAGGTGTTCCAATGTGTAAACCACTGTTCACTGCGGCATTATCGTAAGTAACGCAAAAAAAGGAACGCGAATTGTTGCATTATCGTAAGTAACGCAAAAAAAGGATTGCGAATTGTTGCTGATTGATTGATTTATTTGTAGGGTTGAACGTCCCTAACCACTATTTCATTATGAAAGACGCCGTAGTGGAGGGCTCCGGAAATTTTGACCACCTGGGGTTCTTTAACGTGCACCCAAATAACGCGAATTGTTGCGGAAATGTACTCTTTGCGCTGCTTTCCATCATGTGAACGCCCAAAATTGAGATAACATCTGTTTAACATTAACACCGATTGTGTTAACAAAAACGATTGCAGTAGCCATCCAGCTCATGTTTTTCGCCATGGAACGACGTCGGCAACGCGAGTTGAGTTGCGTCACGCAAAATCACAAGTGACTTGTTTTGTCCATTGGTGCTACCGAGGATCGAAACTTCTCAATTCTGCGTAGCGAAATAGTTTGTACATCTGTTGACTGTAAATTAAATGTCTTGTCTGTGGCACTCCGTTTTTCGTGGATTGTCAAGCACTTGCGATAGTGAATCAACGATAACGATAATGCAGCAACGATAATGCAGCAAAAAACTGTCTGCGTTACCGAAGATCCCCGTACATGAACACCGTCAATGGTTAATTTCTATATTGCAAGATGCAAGTTATTCTGGTAAAACAAGCGATTGATTCGAAGGTAATCTGTTGAAGCAATACTTTTTTGCAGACTAGTAGGTTCCTACTTGAAAACTCGAAACTCAACTTGCTGGCCGAGATGAAGGAAAAACCTGTCTCCCTCATCTTTTTCCTTCAGGTTGCGCACCAAAGCGAGTTTTCAACATTACTAATCATTCTTAAGGATTTCGACATAACGCCCTTGCAAGCGCCGCTACAGAAATATGGCCGCACACAATGTATTTAATATGCGACGGAGCAATCAGCGTCTGTAACATTGATGCAAGGTTCAAAACCACTTCAGTCGCGCTTTACCAGATATACCAACGAGAAAATTTGAAACGCACAAATTTCACTTGCTATCAGCACAACTTGCACACGCTGAACCTCTGCTCTTCTCCACATCGCATGAGCTCATAAAACGTCACGTCTGCATCGTGCTTCGGCATTCGGTCCATGAGCGGATATTTATAATTGATAAACCACCCCAATCACTCAATTAATCAATCACCTAAATCCAGAAAACGGTATGCACACGAATTCCTCCATCTCCGCCATCGAGCCGCAAAATCGAAAACCGAAACTCACGCCTAGCCGAAATAAGGCAACGAGTACCTAAATCGAGAACCGAAAATGAAAATCTTGACTAGCGATGACATCATCATCAGCAGTAAGTCATTCATTCGGGCAACGCCTCTTAAAAAATTATGCCTTGAACGTTAGCCCCAAACGCGCTGTCCTACCTTCTAATTTTACCCTCCTCCTTCAGTACGAAGGGGTGCGTCTCCGCAGCCGCCCCCTGCGAACAAAGCCATGCTCTAACAGTTGCCTCCGAGCAGCCGTGATGTCACGTGACTGAGCGGTACGGAGGCGACTGGTCTCACGGTCCGGCCGGTCGCAACACAAGGCGCAGGAGCCATGGCCTCCGAGATTGCGTGCTGCAGCAGGAGGCTCCCAATTGAAGGGAGAGCGACGTTCTAGGCACAGATTTTCTTGGAGGCGGTGATTCCGGTCACGTTATCTGCGTTTCATTTCGCTGCCGTGAGATGCCGTGAGAACGTGTTTGATGTCGAGCTGACCGTTAAAGAAGGGTGCATGCTCAGTCTTGAAGCACAGATCACAGAGACGCGCATTGTTCGAGACAGGACGACGACGATGAGCAACGCTTCGAAACGTGGAAGACCGACGCGACGCCGGGAGACCGGCAAGGCGAAAGGCACGGCGTGCCGCGGCGGCCGACAGCGTAATGGTGCGTCTTCCCGAAAAAGCGCCGAGCGCTGGTTAGAGACCACGGAGCTAGCGGTACCACCACCAGCTACAAGCGTACCAGAACCACTGTTAGAACGCATACCCCAAGAGCGGTGCACCAAACCGGACGTCACGACGCACGTTATCTGCGGGCACGTCGTGCAGGAGGCGTCCGAATTTTTTGAGTGCGAATGGAGAGCCCAACCCAATGCAGAGCCGGGACCAAGCGCAGTCGACGCCAGTCGTTCACGGGAGCTGTCACTCGTCAACCGCAATGCACGCACCTCAATTGACAGCCGCAACGGGACGCCGTTGCGGTTATCGGGCGTCACACACGCTAGTGCTGGCGGATCTGCGACTTTTACCGCTACATCGGCGGTTGCTTCTAAGCCTACTTCTACGCTGAGTACGCCGCCTCCTCCGCCACTCCTGGCACCGTGCGTCACTAGCGCGAGGGGAAACCCAGTTTCTACCGTGATATGCGTTTGTGGAGGACACCAGCCGACCGCCGCTTCTCAGCGGAACCACGATCGGAGCCGAAGCATCCCAACAACGAACCCGGACAACCAGGCGGCCAACTCGTCTTCGCACACCGCATCCGAAGCTGCAGCCTCAGACGACGCGCTCATGAGAGAAGAGGGCGATGAATTGGCGGCTTCTGCAGCCTGCCCGCCATCCCAGCGTCCGTGCGCGGGTGAGCGTGCGATCGCGGAAGGCGCACGTACGCGTAGGAGTGTTCGTGAAATCACATCGCAGACCTCACCGCCTGATCCGAGTACGCTTGCACAGGCTCCTACGGAGAAATCAGCCGAGGAGTGGACGGTAGAAGACGTGGTACGGTACGTCAAGGGGATCCCTGGATGTGCCCGGCACGCCGAGAAGTTTCGCAAGGAGGAAGTTGACGGTGAAGCCTTGCTAGCTCTTGGAATTAAACACCTGATTGTCTATATGGGCCTCCCCCACGGTCCGGTGGTGAAAATATTACGCGCAACACGTGAATTGCGCATGCGCCAGCGCCCGAAGTAGGACGTTAGGCATTTAGTTTAAGACCATGGGTCTCTGTTGAACGACGTGAGAAAGTGTTTTCTTCTCTCGATGTTTTTAATTCCATGACTTTTTTTACGCCGATTGACACGTGCGGCAGTGCTGCACAATAACTCTGATTATTGATATGTGGGGTTTCAAATCCCAGAACAGCCATATGATTATGAGAGACGCCGCAGGGGAGGGCTCCAGACATTTCGACATCCTGGTGTTCTTTAACGTGCACCCAAATCCGAGCACACAGGCCTACAGCATTTCCGCCTCTGCACAATAACTTCTCCGGCCATCATGGAACCCTGGGACTTACGATATCTTGTGCAAAAAAAAAAAAAACGAGGTACCAGCATTTTTGTGTTCAATGAAATATTTTAGGCGTTTTTCATCTCTTTGATTTTGCAGAAAGCGAAGCCAACCGGAGCATTGATGAATTAAGGTGTCTTAACTTGACAGTGATTACTAAGCATGTGCAACATGACGATGATTGGGATGGTTATTGAAGTATCAATCCTACTGGATTGGAGACTTTGATATTAGCACATGCGTCATTCATTCGCGTGGGCATGCCGTGGACATTGTCAGTACTTTAGTAAATGTGAGTTCTTCGATATAGAATATAGTGCCTGAAAAACACGCATGCTGTTATCAAAAGAACGCATAGCGAAGTATTGGTGGCATTTCGACATAATTAGACGTGGGAATTGCTTTGACACGTGGATAACGTCAGGTTATCTGTACATGGGTGATTCCTTCACTGGCATGAGTGCTAGGCTGTAATGAAACGACAAAAAATTGGAGAATTCACCCCTAAGAATTGAACGAAACGGTGTTATCCAGTCCCTAGTAGGTACTTCGACAACGTGATGCTTTGTTTGTTAGATTTTTCTCAAGAAGTACTAATTGTGAATTACTACATTGTAGATGCATGAATACGACGGAAGAGTCGAAATTAAGAACTACTACAATACAATCGATATAAGTGGCATGCATATGCATGTATACGATGGAATATAGTTTGCGCTGTGTTCAGGACTGACGCAAGTTTTACCAAGCGACGTTGACATGCGCATATTTCATGATGACGTCACAGATTTTGATGATTTGTGAAGATTCGTGCTTTCGTCGCTGGCGCTCAGAGTCGCGTTTGATCGAGGTGTATATAAGACCTTCGAAAATTCAGGAGCTCGCCCGGTATCATGAAAATGGCGGCAAGCTTCTCTTACGCTCGCGGAATCGGTCCACCCGTCCGTCCGTGACCTGGAACGGTGCAAGCTGTGGCTTCTCACAGTGTCACATCAGTCGCGTGATGGACACATTTCTATGTAGTGTGGACACATTTCTGTGTGGTGTGGACACTCAGTACTGAAAAAACGTGGACTCATTGCGTAGGCGTTGTGCTATGCACATATGTATAGCATTTTGTTTGCTACAAAGTATGCGATGTCGGCTTTTGTGCAAGAGGAGTAGTCGTTGCCACGCATTGGCACCAACCTCTCTTTATATACATTTAATAAAAAAGAAAATAGCACAGCGGAGCATGGCAACAGCTGCGCCACTACAGCTGTGGCCTGATAGAGGCTCGTGTACAATGTTAGCGGCCGTGACTGCAATGTCAATGCATGTTATTTAACACCAGTTAGTCAAAATTTCTAGAACCCATCAATGCGGCGCCTCGCATAATCATATCGCGGTTTGCGACGTAAGGCTCCAGATATTAATAAATTATGTTGATTGTAACACCTGTGTTTCGATCATCCTGGCGTCATTTTCGTCTTGCGAAATTCTTTCTCAGATGATTGTATTGCTGACCTCATTCTGAAAAGAAGTAAATTATATATGGAAGTAACGTGCGTTTTTAATCAAGAATTCCTGTGTTCGACAAACTTAATGCACAATATTATACATTTTAGGTGCGCTTAAATATTGGTTAAGGGAACCACTGCTGCCCCCCCCCCCCTTATTTTTTGTGGGCGGGAGGGGGGGGGGGGGCTCTATGTGTCTTAAATTGTATGTTATCAGCAGTTGTGTGCAGTGTGCCAGTAGTAACGGTCGGTATTGTCTGAAGTAACGTCACCCTCTCTTTAGTATCCACTGTCCATCAAGGAGATTGCGGGATAAGCAATTCACATGTCGACAGAAGAAACATGGTGGTGCGTGCATCAAGAGAAGGTTCGATTCGAGATCCTGAATTTGTGATTCGCTAAAACTGTTCTAGCCAGAGCTGAAAGAAGGGTGAGGCGCTTTGAATATAAATGGCCTTCTATCACCTTAGCAATTAGTGAATCAACATTCGTACAGGTATTCGAAAAACTTGTGTGTATTGATGACTATAACGCTAACTTTGACGACTTCTGCATCGAAAGTAAGAGAGAAATAAAATATTATTTCTTTTAGAAGGGCAATGTGTGTGTGTGTATATCAGTGATTTTCTTATGCACACCAATTTTTACAACAATGCTTGATTTGGTCTCCTTTCTTACTTTTTTGTAAACGTAACATTTCGTTTAGGGACATAGCCTTGCACACCTTCAGAAGCAGTGTTCAACAGCGCATGCTCACGAAAATCTAATTCTTGTTCTCAGTTATAACTGAGAGCAATAATGAACATTTCGTCCGAATTGGAGAAAATCAGGTGTCTGGCGGTAATATTGTGGTCTTCAGTGTTGAAGGTATCTAATTCAGGTAGGTTTATTTATTATTGTTTATCTTCTTTATTGTTGTTTGTTTACTCCCGTTCAAGAGCCGATGCATGTATTGATTGTAGCTCGTTCTCAACGAAAGCTATCCGCAGGAGGCGTGCGCAAAAAGTTTTTCCCGGGGGGAGGGGGGGGGAAAGAGTGATCAACTCTACTTTATGTGTGTTTGTTGATTCGCTTGTATGTGTGCGTATATATACGCCTCCAAATTTGAAAATTTTTGGGGGATGGATTCCCCTCCCCCTAGTCTACGCCCCTGGCTTTGCACTGCCTCCGCAATCGGCCTACCTTTCACTAGGCGACGACGCCAAATGCAGAGAAAAAAAAAACAATGACGTCAATACATGAAGTCACGTTATTGTGACGTTGTATCAAACGTTAAGATGACGTCGAATAACGCAGCCACCAGGTACGCCATGACAGCGCCATAAGGGGACGCTTTGCACCACACGTGTGCAGGCCGCCGACGGCCAATTTTTGCGCTTGACGAGGCATTTAAATCTTTCAACATACAAGAGAGAGAGAGAGAAAGCGAAAAGAGGCTTGGTGCGGCGAAATCATCAGGTAGTTGCGAGGCTAAGTGGCAGTAATTAAACCACGCCATTAGGCCCTTTCTCGTGTTTAGCAGTATATCGCGCAGCGTACGGACCCAGCGGACGTGTCACACTTGCTCTGGTCGTGGCCCGGCCAACAGCAAGCATGCCTTCGTCATCCTGGAACAACCGGTCACCGAATACAGTTGCCCTACCGACTTACAAGCGGGGATGAAAGGACCGTTGCACCGATCCTCGTTAAACTTTATTCACGAGCCTAATTAGTTTGTTTATGTGTGATGAGCCCGTGTTCTTATTATGTATGTTTGTTATGCCAAAGGGCAGTCTTTCAAATAAAAAAATAGTACTACGCTGATTGAACTTGAAGGCAGAGATAGCTCCTTTTGTTTGCTTGTTTGCTTGCTTGCTTGCTTCCTTGATTGCTTGCTTGCTTCTTTGCTAGCTTGTTTGCATGTCCCTGGACCTTCTGGTTCCTATTCACTACGAAGAATTGGCCATGAAGCCAGCAGTTAATATAAAAGGAATTAGTTTTTTTTTAACATTGAAAAGGAATGAGACATACTTCGGCCGCCACACCAATAGACAAAAATTTCTG